CCTAGTATGAGGTCATGTCCCCGTGTTCCTCCTCCTAGTTTCAGACGGAGTGTTGGGTTATGACATGCCTGGTTGTGCCCTTCCCCCCGGGTTCTGGCCGGCATGCTCAGCGATTGTCCTTCTTGTTGCAGAGTGATCCGTACCACGGCCTATCTCCTCTACTGCCTGCACATGAATGCCTGCTTGTATTACTGGGCCTCGGACTACGAGGGGCTGCGCTCCACCAAGTGGGTGTATGATGGCGAGGGGAACAGGTGAGATCACACGCACAATATGATAATGAGCTGATGTCATAAAGAACACCATTCCGGATCTCATCGGCCAATCACAGGGAGGGGGAGGCGGCACGTTGTACATTGTATACTCATTTCCTTTATTGGAGTTTTGGGCTTTCAGACTGGGGAGGGCCGAGGTGCCCCCAGACATGGGGGGAGGGGGGGGGTAGACGTTCATACACACAGACGGGTGTATTCAGTTGCTGATGCCAGTCGTTGCCCCAGAGTCCGGCAGGGACATGACACTGAGTAGGGGCCCCATCTGTCAGGGGGGCCCCATCTGTCAGTTTCCATTTCATTGTGTTCTCCGTGTCCTCCTCCAGCTACATTCGCTGCTATTACTGGGCTGTGAAGACCCTCATCACCATCGGGGGGCTCCCCGACCCACAGACTCTTTTCGAGCTTTGGTTCCAGCTACTGAACTATTTCATGGGAGTGTTCGCCTTCTCCGTCATGATTGGTCAGGTGAGTGACACTGGTAGGACATGGACTGGGGATGGGGAGGGAAGGGGGAGATGATGAGGGGTGAGTGACACTGCTAGGACATGGACTGGGGATGGGGAGGGAAGGGGGAGATGATGAGGGGTGAGTGACACTGGTAGGACATGGACTGGGGATGGGATGGGGAGGGAAGGGGGAGATGATGAGGGGTGAGTGACACTGGTAGGACATGGGATGGGGAGGGAAGGGGGAGATGATGCCGGGTGAGTGACACTGGTAGGACATGGGATGGGGAGGGAAGGGGGAGATGATGAGGGGTGTCTCTGTCTGAGGTTCTGTCCCTCATGTGGTGTCTCCTCTGGCCATAGATGAGGGATGTGGTTGGAGCGGCCACAGCGGGGCAGACATATTACCGGAGCTGCATGGACAGCACCATCAAATACATGAACTGCTACAAGATCCCGCGCAGCGTGCAGACCCGCGTGAAGATGTGGTACGAGTACACCTGGCAGTCACAAGGCATGCTGGGTAAGAGCCTCCTCCAGAGTGTCAGGGATAGGCAGCTTCAGTCGCAGCCTCTGCACACAGGCCTTGGTTGATGCGGGGGAGGCGGAGCCTCACGGTGTCACTCTTTGTATGGCAGATGAATCGGAGCTGATGGTGCAACTTCCAGACAAGATGCGGCTGGACTTGGCTATCGATGTGAACTACAGTATCATCAGCAACGTGGTTCTCTTCCAGGTATGTGGCCTCTGATAATGGCAGCTCC